AGCACTTTTCAAAATCTGAGTTCGAGAGATCTGTGTGAGACAGCAAAATAAAATGGACACAGAATTATCAGAATTTAAGAGACACAGAAAACGCAACATGGTCTATAAAAGAAGGTGTCAAAAAGGTAAATATAATTGTTAAAGAAATAAAAGACCGTTCAAAGGAAAGTAAAACTCAAATAATCTCTGATAAAAGTATGTTTGAAAAAGTGACTTGAAGGAGATCAGCGCAAACCTTCCGTCCTCTTCAGTTTTCAGCTGGGCCCCTGGAGCCGACAAAGATACTGGACCATATGGTACTAAAAGGTCAGAAATATAACTGGGAGAGAGGCTTTAAAAGTAATCAGTAACATTTAAATCTATCGTAAAACATACTGGGTGCCAGTGTAAACAGGTGAAACCAGGAGTGATGTGCTTGTGTCTCTTGGTTCTGTTTTAAATCCTGACAGCTGAGTTCTGTTCTATCCAGAGGCAAACAATAGCTTCTGGTTTATGTAGGTAAAAAGGCTGTTAAAGCCTGATGAAATAAAGGCACATAAAATAGTCTCTGTGTCTTTAAAAGTTGAGCTCAACAGTATTTTGGAAAAGGATTGCACAAACTTAGATTGCTATTCAACCAGACTCTGAGATTGTTTACAGCAGGCTTCAACATGAGCTAAAATTACAGACTAAATCTCGTTTAACTAACTCAATGGAGTGTGTTGCTTGAACATAACTCAAAATGATTGATGCAAACTGAGCTTTTTTTTCTTTCTTGAGCCTAAACCTATTTTTTCAGAGTAATTTTCCATCATTCCAACAATCTGTCTTTTAGTTTTGATGGCTCCTGCATTGTAGTTGTCCTTCTGTTTACATCAGGATTATTGTGGTGCATTTCTCGTATTTATCTGGTATGTTTGCATGAAACTACAGTTTTCTACCGAACTTTTTAAACTTAGTCAGTGCGCATGTTTGTAAGGAGTGCGGCTCCTTACTGGGGCAGTGTTGGATTTCATTGGCTGTCGGAGGCGGAGCGTGTTTCGGCTCCAGACTGCAGGAACACAACAAAATCCAGCTGCTGGTCGCTGAACTTGAATCTTTGCTGTGTTTTATCGATTGATGCGCACATCTCCTCTGACGGGCTTCACCGCCACAGCACTGTGACAAAGATGCACCTAGATATGACTCTCCTGCAGAGTAAGTTGTCTCGCTTTGTTGTTTTTGTTTTTAAGAAAAGAAAGAAAATCAAGTGAAGGAAACTTTCTTTTGTGCCATAATTGGATCCAGGTCAGACTTGCGTCGGAAACAAAAGTATTTCTCAGGTTTAGTCTGCTGCATCGTAAACATCTTCTTCTAGGATATTTTCAGCTTTTTTCTCGGCACAATGTCTCCAGATGATGACCTGCACAACGCTTTAATTATTGATTTCTAACAGAAT